ACACACGTGTACTCACGTGTACTACACACACACACGTGTACACCACACATACACGTGTACACCACACATACACGTGTACACAACACACACACGTGTACATCAACACACACACGTGTACATCAACACACACACATGTACATCAACACACATGTACACCAACACACACACGTGTACACCAACACACAAAAGATCCCCCGTATAGCCTTAACAGACTGTAGGGGCAAGTGCTGTTAGCAAGCACCTATGAAGGCCGGATCGGTACACGAGGGGGTGGGTGGCCAGCACCACACCCGACCGCCTTTGTCTCCCCAGTGGAAATGTTTACACACCGCACCAGGTACTCATTTGAGGCTGAGTCGACCTAGGGGAGGCCCAGGACCGGTTCAGATAATCGTCTCTGGTGTTGACCGTGAGCGGGAATCGAACCCGTCTCTGGTGTTGACCGTGAGCGGGAATCGAACCCGAGTCGCCAGGTTCATAGCGCAGCGCGCTAACCGCTACACTACCGCTCCCCACACACCAACACACACGGGTACACCAACTCACACACGTGTACACCAACACATACACGTGTACATAACACACACACACGTGTACACAACACACACACACGTGTACACACGCGCGTGCGCACAACTGAGCAGGTGCTCGAGTCGAGAACAAAAGATGAACAACAGGGGGAGGGGGGCAGAAGGGAGGGGAACAGAAGGGAGGGGAACAGAAGGGAGGGAACAGAAGGGAGGGAACAGAAGGGAGGGGACAGAAGGGAGGGGAACAGAAGGGAGGGGACAGAAGGGAGGGAACAGAAGGGAGGGAACAGAAGGGAGGGGAACAGAAGGGAGGGAACAGAAGGGAGGGAACAGAAGAGAGGGAACAGAAGGGAGGGGACAGAAGGGAGGGGAACAGAAGGGAGGGGAACAGAAGGGAGGGGAACAGAAGGGAGGGAACAGAAGGGAGGGGACAGAAGGGAGGGAACAGAAAGGAGGGGAACAGAAGGGAGGGGAACAGAAGGGAGGGGAACAGAAGGGAAGGGAACAAAAGGGAGGGAACAGAAGGGAGGGGAACAGAAGGGAGGGGAACAGAAGGGAGGGGACAGAAGGGAGGGGAACAGAAGGGAAGGGAACAGAAGGGAGGGAACAGAAGGGAGGGAACAGAAGGAAGGGGAACAGAAGGGAGGGAACAGAAGGGAGGGGACAGAAGGGAGGGGAACAGAAGGGAAGGGAACAGAAGGGAGGGAACAGAAGGGAGGGGACAGAAGGGAGGGAACAGAAGGGAGGGAAACAGAAGGGAGGGAACAGAAGGGAGGGGAACAGAAGGGAGGGGAACAGAAGGGAGGGGACAGAAGGGAGGGGAACAGAAGGGAAGGGAACAGAAGGGAGGGAACAGAAGGGAGGGGACAGAAGGGAGGGAACAGAAGGGAGGGGAACAGAAGGGAAGGGAACAGAAGGGAAGGAACAGAAGGGAGGGGACAGAAGGGAGGGAACAGAAGGGAGGGGAACAGAAGGGAGGGGACAGAAGGGAGGGGAACAGAAGGGAGGGGAACAGAAGGGAGGGGACAGAAGGGAGGGGACAGAAGGGAGGGAACAGAAGGGAGGGGAACAGAAGGGAGGGAACAGAAGGGAGGGGAACAGAAAGGAGGGAACAGAGGGGAGGGAACAGAAGGGAGGGGAACAGAAGGGAGGGAACAGAAGGGAGGGGAACAGAAGGGAGGGAACAGAAGGGAGGGGAACAGAAGGGAGGGGAACAGAAGGGAGGGGACAGAAGGGAGGGGAACAGAAGGGAAGAGAACAGAAGGGAGGGAACAGAAGGGAGGGAACAGAAGGAAGGGGAACAGAAGGAAGGGAACAGAAGGGAGGGGAACAGAAGGGAGGGAACAGAAGGGAGGGGAACAGAAGGGAGGGGAACAGAAGGGAGGGGGACAGAAGGGAGGGGGAACAGAAGGGAAGGGAACAGAAGGGAGGGAACAGAAGGGAGGGAACAGAAGTGAGGGGAACACAAGGGAGGGAACAGAAGGGAGGGGACAGAAGGGAGGGAACAGAAGGGAGGGGACCAGAAGGGAGGGGAACAGAAGGGAGGGGACAGAAGGGAGGGGAACAGAAGGGAGGGGAACAGAAGGGAGGGAACAGAAGGGAGGGGAACAGAAGGGAGGGGACAGAAGGGAGGGGAACAGAAGGGAAGGGAACAGAAGGGAGGGAACAGAAGGGAGGGGAACAGAAGGGAGGGAACAGAAGGGGAGGGGGACAGAAGGGAGGGGAACAGAAGGGAAGGGAACAGAAGGGAGGGAACAGAAGGGAGGGGAACAGAAGGGAGGGAACAGAAGGGAGGGGACAGAAGGAGGGGAACAGAAGGGAGGGAACAGAAGGGAGGGGAACAGAAGGGAGGGGACAGAAGGGAGGGGAACAGAAGGGAGGGAACAGAAGGGAGGGGACAGAAGGGAGGGGAACAGAAGGGAGGGGAACAGAAGGGAGGGGAACAGAAGGGAGGGAACAGAGGGGAGGGAACAGAAGGGAGGGGAACAGAAGGGAGGAACAGAAGGAGGGGACAGAAGGGAGGGAACAGAAGGGAGGGGAACAGAAGGGAGGGAACAGAAGGGAGGGACAGAAGGGAGGGGAACAGAAGGGAGGGGAACAGAAGGGAGGGGAACAGAAGGGAGGGGAACAGAAGGGAGGAACAGAAGGGAGGGGAACAGAAGGGAGGGAACAGAAGGGAGGGGAACAGAAGGAGGGGAACAGAAGGGAGGGGAACAGAAGGGGAGGGAACAGAAGGGAGGGGAACAGAAGGGAGGGGAACAGAAGGGAGGGAACAGAAGGGAGGGAACAGAAGGGAGGGGAACAGAAGGGAGGGAACAGAAGGGAGGGAACAGAAGGGAGGGGAACAGAAGGGAGGGAACAGAGGGGAGGGAACAGAAGGGAGGGGAACAGAAGGGAGGGGAACAGAAGGGAGGGGAACAGAAGGGAGGGAACAGAAGGAGGGGAACAGAAGGGAGGGAACAGAAGGGAGGGAACAGAGGGAGGGAACAGAAGGGAGGGAACAGAAGGGAGGGGAACAGAAGGGAGGGGAACAGAAGGGAGGGGAACAGAAGGAGGGAACAGAAGGGAGGGGAACAGAAGGGAGGCGAACAGAAGGGAGGGAACAGAAGGGAGGGGAACAGAAGGGAGGGAACAGAAGGGAGGGAACAGAGGGGAGGGGAACAGAAGGGAGGGAACAGAAGGGAGGGAAACAGAAGGGAGGGGAACAGAAGGGAGGGAACAGAAGGGAGGGGAACAGAAGGGAGGGGAACAGAAGGGAGGGGAACAGAAGGGAGGGGAACAGAAGGGAGGGGACAGAAGGGAGGGGAACAGAAGGGAGGGAACAGAAGGGAGGGAACAGAAGGGAGGGGAACAGAAGGGAGGGAACAGAAGGGAGGGGAACAGAAGGGAGGGAACAGAAGGGAGGGGAACAGAAGGGAGGGAACAGAAGGGAGGGGAACAGAAGGGAGGGGAACAGAAGGGAGGGGAAGAAGGGAGGGGAACAGAAGGGAAGGGAACAGAAGGGAGGGGAACAGAAGGGAGGGGAACAGAAGGGAGGGGAACAGACGGAAGGGAACAGAAGGGAGGGAACAGAAGGGAGGGGAACAGAAGGGAGGGGAACAGAAAGGGAGGGAACAGAAGGGAGGGGACAGAAGGGAGGGAACAGAAGGGAGGGGAACAGAAGGGAGGGGAACAGAAGGGAGGGGACAGAAGGGAGGGGAACAGAAGGGAGTGGAACAGAAGGGAGGGGAACAGAAGGGAAGGGGAACAGAAGGGAGGGAACAGAAGGGAGGGGACAGAAGGGAGGGAACAGAAGGGAGGGGAACAGAAGGGAGGGAACAGAAGGGAGGGGAACAGAAGGGAGGGGAACAGAAGGGAGGGGGAACAGAAGGGAGGGGAACAGAAGGGAAGGGAACAGAAGGGAGGGGAACAGAAGGGAGGGGAACAGAAGGAGGGGAACAGAAGGGAAGGGAACAGAAGGGAGGGGAACAGAAGGGAGGGAACAGAAGGGAGGGGAACAGAAGGGAGGGAACAGAAGGAGGGGACAGAAGGAGGGAACAGAAGGGAGGGGAACAGAAGGGAGGGGGAACAGAAGGGAGGGGACAGAATGAGGGGAACAGAAGGAGGGGAACAGAAGGGAGGGGAACAGAAGGGAGGGGACGAAGGGAGGGAACAGAAGGAGGGGACAGAAGGGAGGGAACAGAAGGGAGGGGAACAGAAGGGAGGGAACGAGAGGGGAGGGGAACAGAAGGGAGGGGAACAGAAAGGAGGGGAACAGAAGGGGGAAGGGGGAACAGAAGGAGGACGAAGGCGAGGGAACAGAAGTGGAAGGAACAGAAGGGAGGGAACAGAAGGGAGGGGCCAGAAGGGAGGGAACAGAAGGGAGGGGAACAGAAGGGAGGGAACAGAAGGAGGGGAACAGAAGGGAGGGAACAGAGGGGAGGGGGCAACAGAAGGAGGAACAGAAGGGAGATGGAACAGAAGGAGGGGAACAGAAGGGAGGGAACAGAAGGGAGGGAACAGAAGGCGAGGGAACAGAAGGAGGGAACAGAAGGGAGGGGAACAGAAGGGAGAGGGAACCACAGAAGGAGGGAACAGAGGGAGGGAACAGAAGGGAGGGGAACAGAAGGGAGGGGAACAGGAAGGGAGGGGAACAGAAGGAGGGGGAACACGAAGGAGGGAACCGAAGGGAGGGGACAGAAGGGAGGAACAGAAGGCGAGGGAACAGAGGGGAGGGAACAGAAGGACTGGTAACAGAAGGGAGGGGAACAGAAGGGAGGGGAACAGAAGGGAGGAAACAGAAGGGAGGGGAACAGAAGGGAAGGGAACAGAGGGAGGAACAGAAGGGAGGGAACAGAAGGAGGGGGCGCGTTGGAGGAGACGGCCGTGGGTGGAGGTGCAGAACGAGCAGGAGGACTGTGGGGGATCGGGGCAGGATCGCTGGAGTGGGGGGGAGAGGGATCGGGGGGGAGGGATCGGGGGAGAGGGATCGGGGGGGAGGGGATAGGGGGGGGGGATCCCCCAATGTCTGCTCCGCCGCTCTCCGCCATCCACGAGACGTCCGCAGCGAAGCTGCTGCGAGAGGCCGTGCGGCAAAATGGTGAGAAAGACAGAGTGTGTGTCTCTGTGTGTGTCTCTGTGTCTCTGTGAGTGTGTGTGTGTCTGTGTGTGTGTCTGTGTCTCTGTGAGTGTGTGTGTGTCTGTGTGTGTGTGTCTGTGTGTGTGTCTGTGTGTGTGTCTGTGTGTGTGTGTCTGTGTGTGTGTGTCTGTGTGTCTCTGTGAGTGTGTGTGTGTCTCTGTGTGTGTGTCTGTGTGTGTGTGTCTGTGTGTGTGTGTCTGTGTGTGTGTGTCTGTGTGTGTGTCTGTGTGTGTGTCTGTGTGTGTGTGTCTGTGTGTGTGTCTGTGTGTGTGTCTGTGTGTGTGTGTCTCTGTGTGTCTGTGTGTGTCTCTGTCTGTGTGTGTGCTAGTGTGTGTCTGTGTGTGTGTGTCTCTGTGTGTCTCTGTGTCTCTGTGTGTCTCTGTGTGTGTCTGTGTCTGTGTGTGTCTCTGTGTGTCTGTGTCTGTGTGTGTCTGTGTGTGTGTGTGTGCTAGTGTGTGTGTCTCTGTATCTGTGTGTGTGTGCTAGTGTGTGTGTCTCTGTGTCTGTGTGTGTGTGCTAGTGTGTGTGTCTCTGTGTCTGTGTGTGTCTCTGTGTGTGTGTGTGTCTCTGTGTGTGTCTCTGTGTCTGTGTGTCTCTGTGTGTGTCTCTGTGTCTGTGTGTGTGTCTCTGTGTGTCTGTGTGTGTGTCTCTGTGTGTGTGTGTGTGTGCTAGTGTCTGTGTCTCTGTGTCTGTGTGTGTGTGCTAGTGTGTGTGTCTCTGTGTCTGTGTGTGTCTCTGTGTGTGTGTGTCTCTGTGTGGGTGTCTCTGTGTGTGTCTGTGTGTGTGTCTCTGTGTGTGTGTCTCTGTGTCTGTGTGTCTCTGTGTGTCTGTGTGTGTGTCTCTGTGTGTCTGTGTGTGTGTGCTAGTGTGTGTGTCTCTGTGTCTGTGTGTGTGTGCTAGTGTGGGTGTCTCTGTGTCTGTGTGTGTGCTAGTGTGGTTGTCTCTGTGTCTGTGTGTGTGCTAGTGTGGGTGTCTCTGTGTCTGTGTGTGTGTGCTAGTGTGGGTGTCTCTGTGTCTGTGTGTGTGTGCTAGTGTGGGTGTCTCTGTGTCTGTGTGTGCGTGTGCTAGTGTGTGTGTCTCTGTGTGTCTGTGTGTGTGTGTGCTAGTGTGGGTGTCTCTGTGTCTGTGTGTGTGCTAGTGTGGTTGTCTCTGTGTCTGTGTGTGTGCTAGAGTGGGTGTCTCTGTGTCTGTGTGTGTGCTAGTGTGGGTGTCTCTGTGTCTGTGTGTGTGTGCTAGTGTGGGTGTCTCTGTGTCTGTGTGTGTGTGTGCTAGTGTGTGTGTCTCTGTGTCTGTGTGTGTGCTAGTGTGGGTGTCTCTGTGTCTCTGTGTCTGTGTGTGTGCTTGTGTGGGTGTCTCTGTGTCTGTGTGTCTGTGTGTGTGCTAGTGTGGGTGTCTCTCTGTCTGTGTGTGTGTGCTAGTGTGGGTGTCTCTGTGCCTCCGTGACTGTGTGTGTGCTATTGTGGGTGTCTCTTTGTTTGTGTGTGTCTCTGTGTGTGTGCTAGTGTGTGTGTCTCTGTGTCTGTGTGTGTGTCTCTGTGTCTGTGTGTGTGTCTCTGTGTCTGTGTCTCTGTGTGTGTCTCTGTGTGTGTCTCTGTGTGTGTGTCTCTGTCTCTGTGTCTGTGTGTGTGTCTCTGTGTCTGTCTGTGCTAGTGTGTGTGCCTGGTGTGTAGCGGTAGTGTAGCAGTTAGCGCGCTGCGCTATGAACCTTGCGACCCGGGTTCGATTCCCGCTCACGGCCAACACCAGTGACGATTATCTGAACCGGTCCTGGGCCTCTCCTAGGTCGACTCAGCCTCAAATGAGTACCTGGTGCGGTGGATAAAAACATTGCCACTGGGGAGACTAAGGCGGTCGGGCGTGGTGCTGGCCACCCACCCCCTCGTGTACCGTTCCGGCCTTCATAGGTGCTGCTCGCTTACAGCACTTGCCCCTACAGTCCTGTTAAGGCTACACGAGGGATCTTTGCCTGTGCTATTGTGTGTGTCTGTGCTATTGTGTGTGTGTGTGCTATTGTGTGTGTCTCTGTGTGCTAGTGTGTGTGTTTCTGTGTGTGCTAGTGTGTGTGCGTCTATGTCGGTGTGTGTCTCTGTGTGTGTGTCTCTGTGTGTGTGTCTCTGTGTTGTGCTAGTGTGTGTCTCTGTGTGTGCTAGTGTGTTGTGTTGTCTGTGTGTGCTAGTGTGTGTGTCTCTGTGTGCCTGTGCACACTGCCTGTGCACAGGCACACTGCCTGTGCACAGGCACACTGCCTGTGCACAGGCACACTGCCTGTGCACAGGCACACCTGCCTGTGCACAGGCACACTGCCTGGTGCACAGGCACACTGCCTGTGCACAGGCACACTGCCTGTGCACAGGCAACACTGCCTGTGCACAGGCACACTGCCTGTGCACAGGCACACTGCCTGTGCACAGGCAGTGTGCAACACTGCCTGTGCACAGGCAGTGTGCCACACTGCCTGTGCACAGGCAGTGTGCCACACCTGCCTGTGCACAGGCACACTGCCTGTGCACAGGCACACTGCCTGTGCACAGGCACACTGCCTGTGCACAGGCACACTGCCTGTGCACAGGCACACTGCCCTGTGCACAGGCACACTGCCTGTGCACAGGGCACCACTGCCTGTGCACAGGCACACTGCCTGTGCACAGGCACACTGCCTGTGCACAGGCACACTGCCTGTGGCACAGGCACACTGCCTGTGCACAGGCACACTGCCTGTGCACAGGCACACTGCCTGTGCACAGGCACACTGCCTGTGCACAGGCCACTGCCTGTGCACAGGCAGTCTTTGTGTGAATGTGCGTTGCCATGCGGAGATCCCATTGAGATTCGTGAACGTGTGTTGTGGCTATATGGGATGCATTATTCAGTCAATCTCACGCAGTGTCCTTTATTGAACCATGTGGAGGTCCCATTGAGATTCGTGAACGTGTGTTGTGTGTATGGGTAATTACAGTTTTTGTTGAAATGAATCATTTGTCAATGTATTCATCGGTGCTGTGTATTTGTATAAACAAGACGTGTGTGTAGACCCCCATAGGCTGTCGGTGCAGACACTGTGACCGAGCACCTATGATGCGGGGTTGTAGACATCACAGCTCTGGGGAGACAAAGGCGGCCGTGCGGTTGGACCCCCCCCCCCCCCTCGTGTGCCGTGCCGGCCTTCATAATCGGTGCTCGCTATCAGCACTTGCCCCAGACAGCATGTTAAAGGCTATACGGGGGATCTTTGTCTTTTTTCTGTGCATGCACGCTGCAGTATGCATGCTGTTTATGATGTGCACGGGTGTGTAATTTGTGTGTATTTTACATAATGTGGGAATGTATTATTCAGTCTATGAATTGCATAATGCTCAAGTGTCAATGGACTGCTGCCTTGGCGCGTCTCCTGTACACGTGTGCGCATTATTGCTGCTGCTGCTGCAGCGTGTGCACGTCACACGAGAGGGACACAAAGGCGCGCGGGCGTGGTGCTGGCCACCCACCCCTTCGTGTGCCACAGTGCCGGCCTTCATAGCTGGTGCTCGCTAACACCACTTGCCCCAACAGTCTGTTCAGGCTACACGGGGGATCTCTGTCTTTATCACGGTGGGGGAGCACATGGTGGTGCATCTGACAGTCATCTCGGTCTGGTTAACCCCGGGGCCTGTCCCGTGACCTCCTGCCAACAACGAAGCCTTCGACGCTGAACGTGAAAACCTCGAAGTGCACCTAGCTTGGCACACTCTGGCGATGTCACTGCCCCCTCAGTGGTGAATGGCGGCTGTTGTTGTGTGTGCATGGCCAGGATGGATCTGTGCGTGTGTGTATGGGTCTGTGCGTGTGTGTGGGTCTGTGCGTGTGTGTGGGTCTCTGCGTGTGTATGGATCTGTGCGTGTGTGTGGGTCTGTGCGTGTGTGTGGGTCTGTGCGTGTGTGTGGATCTGTGCGTGTGTATGGGTCTGTGCGTGTGTGTGAGTCTGTGCGTGTGTGTGAGTCTGTGCGTGTGTGCATGGCCAGGATGGATCTGTGCGTGTGTGTATGGGTCTGTGCGTGTGTGTGGGTCTCTGCGTGTGTGTGGGTCTGTGCGTGTGTATGGATCTGTGGCGTGGTGGTGTGAGTCTGTGCGTGTGTGTGAGTCTGTGCGTGTGTGTGTGTGAGTCTGTGCGTGTGTGTGGGTCTGTGCGTGTGTGTGGGTCTGTGCGTGTGTGGGTCTGTGCGTGTGTGTGAGTCTGTGCGTGTGTGTGTGAGTCTGTGCGTGTGTGTATGGGTCTGTGCGTGTGTATGGATCTGTGCGTGTGTGAGTCTGTGCGTGTGTGTATGGGTCTGTGCGTGTGTATGGATGTGTGCGTGTGTATGGGTCTGTGCGTGTGTGTGGGTCTGTGCGTGTGTGTGGGTCTGTGCGTGTGTGTGAGTCTGTGCGTGTGTGTGGGTCTGTGCGTGTGTGTGAGTCTGTGCGTGTGTGTGAGTCTGTGTGTGTGTGAGTCTGTGCGTGTGTGTGGGTCTGTGCGTGCGCGTGAGTCTCTGTGTGTGTGTATGGGTCTGTGCGTGCGTGTGAGTCTGTGCGTGTGTGTGGGTCTGTGCGTGGGTCTGTGTGTGTGTGGGTCTGTGCGTGTGTGTGAGTCTGTGCGTGTGTATGGGTCTGTGCGTGCGTGTGAGTCTGTGTGTGCGTGTGAGTCTGTGTGTGTGTGAGTCTGTGTGTGCGTGTGAGTCTGTGTGTGTGAGTCTGTGTGTGTGTGTGGGTCTACGTGTATAGACAAATCGGTGATGTGTGCGTAGTGGGGTGCGGTCGCCTCGTGGTTTAGCTCACTGCGTTACCGGCCAGAGTTCGATTCCCGCTAGCGGCCAATTCCGATGACGATGATCTGAACCGGTCCTGGGCCTCCCCTAGGTCCACCTGGTACTGTGTGTAGTAAACATCGCCACTGGGGAGACAAAGGCGGCCGGACGTGGTGCTGGCAACCCACACCGTCGTACCCAGGGCCGGCCTTCAACCGGCGCTACTCACGAACGGCACTTGGCCCAAAGAGTCTGCTCAGGCTCCACGGGTGGTCCTGTGTGCGGTCTGAAGTTAATGCTCTGACACCTCCCGTTCTCTCGCAGGGAAACGAAGGCAGCTACCCCATGGAAATGTGTTCTCATTGTGAGTCTCGCACAGACGCCTGCAGCATACACTCACGCCTGCAGCATACACTCACACAGACAAAGGGCTCCCGTATAGCCTCGGCAGACAGTCGGGGGAAGTGCTACGAGAGAACCACGCCCGGCCGCCTTTGTCTCCCCAACTGGGGATATTTACACGCCAGGTGCGGCTGAGTCGACCTAGGCGAGGCCGAGTATCGGTAGAGATATTCGTTACCCGTGTAGGCTGTTGGACAAGAATCGCATTTGGGTATGATCTAACCACTGGC